TATCTAGATAATTATTTGTTCATCTTTTATCTTATCTAGATAAATAGTTACAAGGTATCTACTAAACGTTCATCTTGGATAATTTTTTTACTAATCTAAATAAATTCATCTAGATACATTTTTTATTGATAAAAATCGTGAAATTGTACAACAATTTCAAATATTTATACAGATTCGGAAACAAAGTTTATGGTTTATAAATAATTTAATTATTTTTATTTATATCATTATTATTATTAATATTATGTTCCTAGTGCCCAAATAAAATATACCTAAATTTAAAACCATTTAAAAAATAATTGTACTTTTTTTTTATCTAGATAAATATGCGAGTTAAGTTATCTTTTATATCTATCTATATACATTTGAGTTGCATTTTCTTTATCTTTAGCTAGATAAAAAAAATATTTATGTAACCCGAACATTGCAGGTGTTTGCACAGAACTTTTTGGAGCGATTTTTACTGCACTAATCCAAAGCATATTACACGGATTGCATTACGACGCGATTAGCTCGTCACATTATATCGAATTATATTATATAATTGATCAACGCAAAATAAAAATATTTATATAATAATAAAATGCAAACATAACAATATTATGATGAATCTATTTCGCGAAAAAGTACGTCGAGAGGAATCATCACTGCTGTCATTATTGAATCAGATATTATCACAATGAAGCTCATTGTTGAACGCATTTAACAGTTAGTCTGAATAAAAATTATATTAAATATAATATGACGTATACGATATCGATTAAAAATTATAAACACCAGCAAGTGGAGTTGGCGTGAAGTTGGGATGCATTAAAACAAAGTAAACATTGTTGTTGTGGGGGCAAAACCTTTCGACCGTAAACGACCAGTCGTCCGGCCAATTTGATAAAATACAATCTGTTTATCTGTAAGCTTTATATTACACGTATGATAAATATGACGTAATCCGTATCGATTTTGTGTTAAACAATTTAATGTATTAAAAACATTTAATTTTGTGATTGAATTCATTATTTTTAAATCATTGGGATCTGAAATTGATAATTATTAGGTAGGTAGCTGACTTTCGCCCACGAACAAAATTTTCTTTTTTATTGTAACAAAACGATGACGTTAACTTTAAAAATCCATTACCAAACAATTTAAATGTGAGTAACATAAACGTAAATAATTACGACATCAACGTTTGTAAATAGATCACTCACAGCACTGCAGTTAGAGCCACAAAGGCACACCACTTACGGATATTCAAAACATGTTTTTATATTTTTTTAATTTCCGGCGATTTTTCCAATATCCGTAATATCGGTATCTTTATAATAATTTGCACTTTTTTTTTTTATAAACAAATAATAATCAGTGTTTTTTTTTTAAAGTATAATTTTTAAAATCGTTTAGATTTTATGTACATACGTGGAATCGTCGTGTTTGACATGGTATGATGTGCAGGTTTTCACGGTGACTTGTGAAAATATTTTATTTCAAAAATAACTCGAAATGAAAAATGTACGGTCAAGGGCAACGTACGGATTACTGTGTACCATATTAATCATACCTAATACATAATATTGTGGTAAAAACAGTCGGTTTCTATCGACATAAATACCTTGCAAAAGTCTGTCGGAAATGCGTACGCGAATTTCCATAGTTTTGTCGACGGTAATTATTATTTGCATAGGACCGAATTAATTAAAAAGCGTTATTTGTCCGAAACAGTGTTTTACACAATGGCGTTTTGTGTCAAATGTCATTTGTACAAAATTCTCTACGAACAAACGAATTTGTGCGTGAACCCTCACGCAATTTTTTTTTTATATATAGCTTAATGATAAACACCGTCTACTGTTTGATTAGTCATAAATATAACAATATTTAATATAATTGTTCCGTATGCGAATTACTTTTCCCATGTGCGAATCCCATTGTGTAAAATCAACGTAGTTGTCCCCGTCCTCGAACAGTAATAATATCGATGGAATCAATTGTTCGAGAGTACCACAATTAGTGGTAATAATAAATTCTTTGCAAACATTTCGTCGACGATATTTTATAATATGCAGTCGATAGTTTGTTTTCAAATTCATGTCATAATATTTCATCGGTACAACAAAATATGTAATAACCGACGCCGTAGAACACTTTGAAAAATATTGTTTTATGACTGTATACGCATACGAACGGGATTTTAAAAAACTAAATGGAGTTTTTTTTTTTTATTGTTCTTCATATTTGTAATTTAAAGCTTTAACATGTATGGAATACAGAGATACACGAGAAATAATACTTATTTGGCACAAACACTCTGTTTTTTTTTTTCATACTAGCGATTCATCACCGATGCCTATTTGGACGCTAAACACAATATAATATCAGCATTGCATACGAACCAAAAATGTATAGTAAGTTCTTCTTGGCTCGTTGGTATAAAACATTGCATTTTGGCTAACACATTATGAAATATGGAAATGTGCACATTATATTCGTTTGAAGCAGGCACATCATTCATTTATTTTTACCAACGTAAACAGGATTAAATACTTCCGACAAAATGAGTGTAATTAATTTTAGTGTCGCGCGTAAATAAGGAAAGTAGGCATATTAGATTGATGATTTTTAAGAAGAAAAGTTCGATACGTATCGATGCGTAATAGTAACGTACCGACACGAACAGTTACGTACCGACTTAGTCCGATGTGGGTCCGGTACGTATCGCTGGTACACTTTTAACTTGTTTAACGCTCTTGAAACTTCAATGTGTTCCTTGAAAACCTTATAAGCTATTGTTGCGTGCCCGATCGATCGAGTAGAAATGACGAAAAAATTAATTTTTTGCTACTAGTTTGATGGTTGTAAATTAATTTATTTAAATAAGACGCGAGTTCCAAAATTATATAAAACCACGAGATCGTCCAGATGGTTAATTCATCTCGCAATATTTCTCTGGGCAAGAAGCATAATTATATTCTAATGTGACTTGTTGTGTTAGTACAGAGCCGATGATGTACCCATCGTTATTTCTACCAAATTATATCGGTCCGTAATACTATACTCGCTGCGTGGACGTCGTGTGAATGTATTAATCTAAAGGGGTCGAAAACAACGTTTTTCCGGTCTGCTATTTTTTTTTTCTGGGGAGGGGGAGGAAATATAATATAAAAATCGTTCACTTTGAAATACAAACACATCGATCAATGACCAACGGGTTATATTTCCGTACATTGTATACTGCAGCACACACACACGCACACACACACACACACACACTATGTATGTATATAATGCTTGTAACATCGAGGTAGAACGATCGTCGGAAACTCGGAAGTCTTGACATAGTTTTTTTCCTGACCACAAATATTAGCGTAACGCCTCGCCGCACACGTATCCATATCGCACGTTTCAACGGTGTGGAAAATGGCGGATCGTGCGACACGCTCACCAAACGATAAATTGAAAATTTACCGAAAAGTCGTGCGATCACCGTCGACTCGATGGCGAGGATAATGAACTTTATTTGTCGGGTTTTCGTCGGTGACTTACTCACGACTGTTGCTGTGGTTGTCATATGTATATGACTCGGGACGGATTTAAGGCAAGCGGCGTGTGGCTCTGTGGACCGGATTATCGTCCATCCAAAAAATGGCGTTTGGATCCCTCGACCGTCGACTTTTGGTGAGGGGGGTGCTAGTGTTCGGTTTAGCCACACTGTGTCCGTCGCTGTCGTCCCCCTTATCTGCATCAGCCACACGATATGTTCCTACCCATCTCGCGGTGCGTTTTAATCGTTTGCGTCCCATGACGACAGTGACGAAACCCGCGACGACCACCCCCTCCGACGAAGGGTGTAATTTTGACTCGTCGTCGGGCGTCCGAAATTATAGTATTATTATTGTGGAGAGAACGCAGACAACTGTTAACGAGTACTTCCTATAGGTATATGTCTGGTCGTGAAGATATGTCGGGCTCGGTGCGGCGGGGTTGCGAGTTTTGGGTCGTATAGAGTGGTACATTCAGTTAACGTCAACCTCGGCAATCTCGACACTCAGTGGCCAGACTCGTATAACGGATTACTTGTCTCCCCCCTCCAAAAACTGAGTATACCGGACGTTCGCCTCGTAACAGAAACGCCAACGGAATAATGGATCGTCACAATGTCATATACTCTGTAGTTTTATGTTTTATGTACGTAATTGGATGTATATAGATGCGACGAAAATGTTTATACCCGGCATCGTGTCAACCAGAGGCGGATTGGGATCACACTACGTCATAAAACTCGCGAACTATTATAATAATAATACGTATAATAGGTACCTATAGGAATAATATTATGCACTATTATGTGTGGTTCTATATTTGTACGGTTCAACTCGTCCGATGGGCAAGAGGTCAATGGGCATTTCCGTTTTATATTTTGTCAATGGGCTATTGTATTGATATTATTTTTTATGACAATAATCCGATCGAGCCGGTATTTAGATAGGTACCAGCTCTACCACTCGAATAGACGACCATATACGACAATCCCGCTTACGTCATAATAAACCACCTGCAATGATTGTTCGGTATCGCACGGCCTATATCAGTGTTTCCCAACCGGTGGTCCGTGGGCCAGGCATAGGTGGTCATTATTATTAGTAAAGTTTAATAATTATATATACTAGTACAGTAAAATAATAAAAATTTTCCAATACATTTTTGTGTATTATTGTTAATGAGCAAAAAAAAAAAAAAAAAAGGTCTTCCTAGTTTGCGTAAAATTGAGGTGGTCCGCGACCTATTAAATATTGTCAAAGTGGTCCGTGGTGGTAAAAAGGTTGGGAAACACTGGCCTATATGGATATATTTTTACTAGGGAAACATTCATTTACCGCGGTTATTATAACGTTATACGATTATGATATACCTGCAGCGTGGTATCGTGCCGGTAACAATTTATTTTTCAAAATCATCTGACTCGCGTTTGCAATACCTACGCAATATTATATAAATTCAATACTCACGCTTGACCAAGTCTCTGGCACCGGTGCGCAGCATCAGCGGCTGGTTATTCTCGCGCCTCCACGTGATTTTCGGCTCGGGGTTGCCGGTGGCGTGACACGACAGGGTGGCGTTCTCTGCCTCCATAAGCGTGAGGTCAGGGCTCGACTCGTCTGTAATTATATCCGGTGGCACTGGAAACGATAAAAGGTACACGTTATTATGAACATTGCACTAGTTATATACACACAAATTATATTCATCATTATCATGTATCGCATTGCCTTAGGTCACAGGCACCGATCTATATTCCATGTTATGGGTAAACAATGCCGGTGTTAGGTCCACCTACTTAAAAAAAATGTGCTTAATATAATCACGATATACTGCCTTCAAATATTAAATCCCACTAATGACTGATCACTTATTATCACCCACCCACCTGACCCACCCATAAATAGTCCTTGGGAATTTTCCCCAGTTGATACCCATGTTCGGCGCCACTGGCGGTAGGTCATAGGCGCAGTGCATATATATTTATGGGTTTCGAGCTGTTCCTACCAACCGACGACGAGAAGAGCACTTAATATATTATTATCAAATACTGGAAAAAAGTCCGATGTCGTTGTATTACAAGTACGATGATTTGAGTCGTTTTCTACGGTCGTGTGTGGTGTGTGTTTCGTCGATAGAACAGTGTTTACTGTGTACGTTAGTTGGTACCTATTGCAAAATCAATAACTGTGCATACACTATTATACCTATAATATAATAAGCGGTGTTCACTTCCAAAGAAAACGTTTATAATTTAAAAACCGCTGAAACAATAATATTATAGTATTCCGTGTATCACACATTTATTTTAACGAACTATGCACGATGCACTTACGTAACGATTCGTTTTATATCGAGGAAATAATATTTACAGCAGTAGGAGGGTACACTTCGATACGAATATGGTTTAATTTATTGAACGACTACCGTTTTTCGCTTATGTTTGTCTAATTAACGCAAAAAGAGGTTACCTATAATTGCACTTTGCGAAAAAAAAAAAAGATTATTTATTATTACGGCCTATTAGAGAGCTCGGAAGTCGGATAAAGTCAGAAATTGAGTAGTGTAAATGTGTGTTTGGCTTCATATTACTTCATATTTGGTGCAATGTATTATGAGTTTTATGATGAATCAAATATTTTATATGTCAAGTCTGGTCAAGAGTTATTAATGCGATTTGAAATACATTTTAGTAATCATATTATGATGCTTGTTCTGTACGATGCTATCAAAATGTAGTGTTGTTTACTTTTATCGTGCATTCAATAAGTTAATTTAGATTTTAAATTGATTACGTGTTTTGGCTTTTCTGATTAGGAAATCGGAACAACGATTAATACACATGTTGCGGATTACGTGCAGTGAATTTAGAGATTTGGACAAAGGTACCTAATCTCTACTAATTTATTACTAAACACTGGTTAAATATTTAATTACATTTTTAATATGAATATTTAATTTAAAATATAATAATCACGGGTATAAATGGTATTTTAATTTATAGACGGCCATTGGTTGTTACCATTGTTTTGATTGTATATTTTTCGTGACCGATAGTTTTATAATTAGTTTCTCAAGTTGGATCGATATCATAAAAGTCAATACAAACTGTGCACAAGTCCTTAGTGTATTATTAATTGTGATACTCTCCTCGTATTGGCTTAAGAATTTGAAATGTAACATGAGCTAATTCATTCGGCATGGCATATCTTCGTGGTGGGTTTATTACCGATCGGCGTTCACCCAGCAGGATTGAACGGGATAGGGTGTGATTGGGGTTACTACGGATTACGCTGGAATTAAATACTGATACCACTGTCGACAACCAACTGATGGCATCGACTGAGGGAGGGAGGCAAAGATTATTGTGCATTGATATAATCATCAAAAATAAATTACCATAATACAAAGTGGTGACCTGAATAACACCGAGCATTAAATATTAATTGAAGCGGTTTGGGAAAAGTTTAGAAAATGCTTATTTGTAAACAGTTAAAGGTAAAACAGTTTGGGAAAAAAATTCTTATTGAGTTTTTGTAACACCTAAACGAGTTAAGGTATCCATTACCTATCTATACGTCGATAATGGATTGAATTAGAATATAGTTCGTATATTATTGAAACTGAACACGTTTGACAATTTAAAAATCCGAGAAAGTCACTGTGCTATTAAGTAGATGTCGAGCATGAGTAGGTTACTGTAATGGATGTGTTAAATTTGTATTCAATGGTAAATCATGGGATAGGAAAAACGATTTTGAGCGGATATGGAGTGCAGCCTCTATTTTAAAAGGTATTTGACAATTTATTTATCCTATACTATTAGTAATATATTTTTATATCATGTATTAATATGATATATCAAATTAAGTGTTGTCAATTAATATCACATAATATCTTATTTTATAATAATGATCATAAGTTAGTTCAGTAAAATGCAGTAAACAAGTGTGTGGTATTAATATCTTACTATTAGTTTAAATATCGAGTATGAGTATAGAAAAAAAATAATAAACAAAATTGCGTAATTTAAAGTCTCTACAATAATTAATAATTTTTCAATTATAACAAAATAACTAAAATCGTTAATGGAAATATCGTTATTCTTCATTTAAATATAATTTGTCGTCAAATGTTTAATACCTATGTCGCGTCTATATAAAAAAAAAATTGTGGACATTAATTTTTAACTTTTTTAGATTCCTGTAAGAACAGTCTAATTCATAATTATCCTTAAATTATATTTTCAAGATTTAAGAAGTATAAAAAAAATGTAATGTCTATAAACAGTTTTAAAAAATCTTAATATTTAAAACTAAGACGTAGGTATCTGTTGAAATAATATACAGAAAATAATAATTTAGGTAATTGCGGAATGTTTCAAGTTCTTAAAGTTAATATTTTTTGAATTAAAATAAAAACTCGTCTGAGATGGAATCCATTTTTTTCGTTTGAATAATATAGGTATCCAATTTTTTCTATATCCGTTCTTCAATTTTGGCTTAACTCTAAATTATTTGTAATTTCAGTAAAAATAACTTATGCATTTTATTTTTTTCATTTTCAAGCTTTAACTATAAATATTCAATATATTATGAATTTGTAATTAAAATATAATTTATAAATTTCCACGAATTTCCCAACTTTTGACTTTACTTGAACTTTAAACTTTTGCTGTTAGAAGCTGTAAGAATGTATTACCGATATTTTTTAATTGCTTTAACAGTAACTTATTAAGAATCTTAAATCAAATAGTCAAGCTTTTTGACTTGAAAAGCTAATAAGTAATAACTAATGAACATTTCAAAAGTCTATAAATAGTTCGAAAAGATTCAATATTTTTTGATAATTATATCATCTTTCAAAATGCTCATCTTAATATCAGACGTCAGTTCTTCTGTAATCGATTAAATAAAGAAAAAACGATATTTCAATAACTGATACATCATTATAGATTGAATATTGTGGATGATATTATTAAACTATTGTAAGCTTTACATTTGTATGATGCCTATTCGTTGCATTTGACAAATCGTTTATGATTCAAAACTTGACAAATAAACCTTATTTATCATAAATAAATAAAAATTATTATTTTAATTATAAAAAATAACAATTATTACAATTTATTATTTTAATTATTTTTCATATTTGGTAAAATCATGAAACATTATATTTATAATGATATACTAATATATCATAATATAATATCGTCGGCCTAATTCACAAAAGTCGTATCTCCATTTTTTGTCATTTTGGGATTATTTACTCATAAAATAAAGAAAAAAAAACTTCGTCTGTTGATACAATCAAATTTCCGATTTCATAATATTATCCTCCATGAAATTGATAATTAGAAATCGTCGTATCTCCAATTAATAATATGGCCGTAAAACGTTTTTTTCTTCTCCTGAACAATTTGTAATTTTGGACATACGACCTTTGCGAATTAGGCCGACAATATGTAATATTATTACAGGCTTAGCAACTGTTTCGTAAGGAAATTTCCAATGAAAAGAAAAACTTGTGGTTACAATAATTAAATATTTCTGAACGTGGGACGTTTGGCCAAAGTGAATTTTTAACTGTCGTATATAATATATTATTATTATTTTATACGTTTTATAAATATAATTAAATATATGGATAATATATTATTATTATGTATATGTTATATAGATATTTGTAATTTTTTTCCGCAATCTAATTACCTAATAATTGATGGTGTACCATGATTAATGAAAAAAAAATGAATATAATATATTACTATTAGTTATTACTGGGCAAAGTACAGAAAATTTGCAGTAATAACATTTTTTTTTTAAACCCAGAAGTATTATACATTTATTATAGGGATTGGTTTTGATTTAATCAAACGTTGTGGACATAATAATACACTAAAGGCTATCATGGCAAGTGTATACACAATAAAAGTTGATTACTTTGAAGAGTATTGTTTAAAAACTGCAGCAAAGATGTTTATTTCACTTTATCCGCAGAATTGCGACGGTGTACATAAAACTGTATTACACGGAGAACTGATGTCATTCGATTTACTTCATTTCCAATTGGCAATAATGATATGAACCGTAAACATTTTTATATATTTTATACTAAACACAGGATATTGCACGATGCATTGTGTTGTTTGTTATTAAACATTTGATGTAATGATAAATACCTATCGTAGGTACCTATTCGAAAACAGTACCCAAGTGGATCTTTCGGTTTATATCGAAACTCGAGTGCAAGACGATTTTGAGAAACTAAAATAGTTTTTAAATTTTCAAATACTTCTTAAAATAATTTATTGGTTAAGATTTTTTTCTTGGTTATTAATTATTATCATCAATAATAAATACCATATTATGAATGACCTTGTATAAAACGTTTCCTAGGCACTACTGGGCTATTAAATAAAAAAAAAAATACGTCTATGAAGTACAAATTTTGTATGAGTAGGAAGTCTAGCATCTAGACGAAACCTTTGAAAGATTTGTATAGTTGAAAATTATTGTAAAGGACGAAAAAAGATTAATTGCCAAAGACGAGAAAAATGAATAAATAAATATGTGTAAATGGGTAAAACTAATACAAATAGTTGGGTAATAATATAATACATACCTATATGTTAATAATG